AAATGAGTCACTGTGCGCACACTTATTCATTAACAGTGCCAAACTGTTAAAATGCAAATTAGATATTTCTCCAAAGAATGGATTCCCTAGAGCTGCTAACCGTAGCAAAACACGGCATGCAAATTACAAAACGGCGCCTTTGCTACTGAAAATCGTGAATATAGGGAGAATCAAATACAATGCTAGAGAGGTGACAAGCATACAGATGTCCAGGATAAGCCCAAAGACAAAGCCAGACAAGGTAGCCAGTCTTTTGGCACATCTCATATCTATTTCCACTTTCTACAACAGTGGAGTTCTTACATAGCACACACAATGTGCTATACAAGCAAAAAAACAAAAAGGAAAAGTGTATCTAAAGGCATCAGGAATAAAGAGAGGTTAGAACTTCTGTCAGGTGGTTATTTTTGCCTGCCTCCCTGCTGCAGAGATTCACCTTGCTATTTGTCCTGGAAAACAATGTAACTAGGAATGGGAAAAAGGGAAAAATCACTTGTTCTGGTGACAACTGTCCAGGAGAGGATTTCCCTTACCTTGCTGAGCTTTCCTCTCTCCTGTTTGTTTCTCCAGACAGTATGTGAAGGGAAATCCCCTTGATGGGTCCCAGAGCACACAAAGACTAGTCAGGGGTTTTAACCCTTTCCTCTTCTTAAAGCGACACTAAACTCTGATTTAAAAAGAACAAAACAAATCTACCCCAGTATGTATTCGTAACATAAAGTCCCTTCTGTTGCTCTCAGCCTAATGTATGTAGGAATGTAGACCCCATTGCAAGAGTGTTTTAAAGGGACTCTGGGAACACTATCTGCATATTGGGTCTGATTTTCATCCTTGAATACAATGTCTACCCAAGGATACCGTCATAGCTAAAACCTTACCTAACCTACAAAAATGGAGCTCAGTGTATTCCCTGGTTCCAACAGTGTTAAAGTTATATTAAACATACGCTGTTTAATTTACATTATCCCTTCTCTTTCTGTATGTGGATGATGGCACTGTAATTATGTTAATAGAAAAAAAAAATCTAATAGATATACAGCTGTCACATGACTCAGCATTTTCCCAGCCTGTCTACAGGGAAACAGTGGCAGGAGGAGCTTCTAGTCCTCTGCTACTGGTCACATGTTTAAAATAATAATAATAAAAAAAAAGCCTTTGGGATACAGAGTAAAAATAATGAATATTGGTAAACCGATTTAAATGATCATACAAATATATATTTGAAAGCAAAACGTTTTTTGGCAATAACATGGTGTGGGTGTATTTTTGCCACTCATAGGCCCTCCAGCCTGTGTCTCAGAGTAACAGGGAGGTTAAGCCTCCACCAATCAAGATGCAATATCCCACCCCTATTGTATTTAGATTGTTAGTGGGCATGGAGGAGAAGGTAGGGTGCTGCTCAGGTGTGATAGGGATCAAGCTTGAGTGGAAGATGGAACTGGACTGGTGCCACTGGAATCTGCCAAGTGGAAAGTTACTGTGTTGAGGGTATAGAGGGAATTGCTTCCAAAGGGTTATATCCCATTGGTAGGTGATGCACTGTTGGGGTGCAGGGCTCCTACCTTTCTGATAATGACAATGGAAGCATTTCCGTAGGGAACAGTTGGGTGATTGGAGAGGGGCACCCAATGCCCAAAAATTGTCTCCCTTGATGAACTTTATAGTTGTTTATTGAAGTAAACAAGTAGAGTCAACGTGTTTCAGGGGAACTGCTTCCCCTTTGTTCAGGGCTAGTATATATAGAGAAAGTTACATGGTAAAAACCCATAGCCAGTCCATAGGATTTGAACAGTTTGAAAAGCAAAAATCTATGGTGTTAAGTAGTTTCAACATAAAGTGGAAACCTTATTTAGTCTCTAAAATCATAGTGTGAATGGTATATAAAATGAAAACATATCCACGTTGACTTTTAAGTGATAGAAGACAAAAAAACTATTAAAAAAAAAAAATACAAAGCAAATCCTATAGACTGGTTATGGGTTTTTACCATGTATCTTTCTCTCTATATACTATGATTCCCCCGAAACGTGTTTGCTCTACTTGTTTACTTTAATTTTCAATAAACAACTATAAAATTCATCAAGTGAGACTTTCTTGGACATCGAGCACTCCTCTTCAATCACCTAGATGTGATAGGCAGGAAATGCTCAGGGTAAAAATACACTGAAAACGGAGAATATGCATTAGCTGTCAACATTGCTCTACAGAATCCCCAGCTGCAGTGGGGACATGGACAGAAGGGGGAGACAGAGAACAGCAGGATCAACCAGATATTTTGCAGAATACTGAAAACAAATCCCATAGTGACTGAATATGAACAACATGTAATATGGCATTTATTGATAGTTTTTAACGATCTGGTTTAACATCACTTTAAAAAATATATGTTTTATAGAGGTGTACACATTGGGCCAAAAAGAGACACAAATGAGGAAGAAAGAGGTACAGAGGGATTTGGCTCTAAAAGAGAGACAGTATGGAGCTACAGTATGCAAGTGAGAGAAGTCAACTGCACCAAGATCAGGCTAAATGAAGTCATTTAACAAAAGTACCTGACATTTGCCCTCCCCTGATCTCACCAGCAATATTACCTAGAAGGCTCATAGCTGTGTGCTTCCAGAGGTCAGCTTTCTGCAGTGGTGTGTGCTGTCCAGGACTGCTGCAACCTTTGTTCCTTTCTATCTAAATTCTGATTACACAAGCCGGCAAAGGAGGTGAATTAGAACATTATACTCCATAGCAGCGTCCCATTATTACCCAAGGCTCACTGTGCTTTGTAGTCAGGATTTAGGAGGAAGGGAGCAGAGGTTGCAGGGTCCTTAGGCAGGTCACACGGTAAAAGGTTGACCTCTGAAAGTATTTATTAGAGCTGAGACCAGGAGTATAAATTGGTCAGTCATTTTGTTAAAGAGAACTGAACCCAAGCAACATTTTTTCTGCTTCCATTACAACATTTATATAGTCATTTATTCTTTACATTATGCATACATTATTCATAAATTGAAAACACATAAAAAAAACTGACACCAGGCAGATCTAAAATGCAAAATACAACTGTATATTTATTAAATGCACTTTAAAATGCAACTAGTGTAATGAATCAATTATGTCCTTATATTAGCTTTCTGTAATCATCTGCACCACAGGACTGGGAGGAAATGAGCTAACATCATATATGCTGTCAGAAGAAAGTATCATGAACAGAAAGTTGACTCTTTGATGAGCTGCTGCTTTTTCACTGTCCAATCAGCAGACTGGGGATGTGTTTCTTGAACTAGCTTTGCTGCTCCAGTGGAGGTCACAGTATATGTTGGCTAAGAATGTCTTTGGACACATGTTTGCATCATATTTTTGTCATTAGATTGACTACAACAAATCTAAAAGTCCAAATTGCCAGGCTTAAAACAGTTTACTTACAGTGTAACGTCAACTTTGTGTCAAATGAACGTCTCTCCTTTTTAAAGTCAGTCTTATTGAAATTGCCCCAACCAAGTTTAAGCCTATTGGATTTTAAGGTCATACTTTATCTTTTTGAATTGTGTGACATTACGGTCTTTCTTTCCTCCCTTTTTTTGTTTTGTCCCAAGACACACAAAGGGAATAAACCCGCAAAACTGTTAGAATCTTTGGCGGTTCCTTCCTTGGTGGTCGGCCATGACTGTATATGGCTAAGCTATGCATCAGTCAATTTCTGGCAAAACAGTTTTCGTTATTTGTTCTTGTTTCAATATAATGTTTCTAACTATCTGTTTTACTTTTAAAACTTCTGACTGGGCTTTTTCCAAGAGCAGTTCAGCCTGGCTTTCATTTATGTGTATCCAGCCCTGAAAAAACAAGTTTATTTGAAGCTTTCACATACTGCAAGTGAAAAAGAAGTATGCTTTATTAGGGCTCATGCACATGCCGTCTGTTCTGATTTTAGCAGGGAAAATCATTATGTAATTATATATTTGGCCACTAGATGGAACCCAGAATAAATCTGCTGTTTTACAGAAACCAGAGACTGTTTAGCCATCAAAAAACCTTCTTCATGCTAAGAAAAGGAAACCGGTACATCCTGGAAGCTGAGACTCCATTTTCAGAACTGAGGGAAAGGAAAAGCCATTATTCTTTGCAGCACGTTATGGATTGAACTTACATTCCCTGCAGGCAGCATCACTGGTATGGACATACTGCCATCCACAGCTTAATTATTTCATTGTGCTTCTTACATTTATTGCATGTATTTCTCATTCATTTTTTTCCAATAATTTCATCCCACCCTGTTTTGTTAATAAACCATTAAGATTACATTTAGTCTGGCTTATTGCAGAATAGGAAGGTTTAGCTGCATGTCAATGTTACACACAGGAAAATGTATAGCGAGGGCAGAACACCGTCCATAGATCTGAATGGTTGGAAGGGGCTGTACACAAGCTATGCACCACTGCTTGGGTAAAGTGCACATACACTATACTGTCAAAAGTATTGAGACGCCTGCCTTTACACACACATGAACTTTAAATGACATCCCAGTCTTAGTCCAAAGGGTTCAATTTTGGTTTGGCCCACCCTTTGCAGCTATAACAGCTTCAACTCTTCTGGGAAGGCTGTCCACAAGGTCTAGGAGGGTGTCTATGGGAATGTGTGACCATTCTTCCAGAAGTGCATTTGTGAGGTCAGGCACTAATGTCGGACGAGAAGGCCTGGGTCGCAGTCTCCACTCTAATTCTTCCCAAAGGTGTTCTATCGGGTTGAGGTTAGTACTCTGTGCAGGCCAGTCAAGTTCCTTTACCCCAAACTCGCTCATCCATATCTTTATGGATCATGCTTTGTGCACTGGTGCGCAGTCATGTTGGAATAGGAAGGGGCCATCCCCAAACTGTTCCCACAAAGTTGGGAGCATGAAATTGTCCAAAACGTCTTGGTATGCTGACCCCTTAAGAGTTCCCTTCACTAGAACTAAGGGGTCAAGCCCAACCCCTGAAAAACAACTCCACACCATAATCCCCCTCCAAAAAAAGTACCATTCTCCTTGTAACCACCAAATCCTGACATTTCCATCGGATTGCCAGACAGAGAAACATGATTCATCACTCCAGAGAACACGTCTCCACTGCTCTAGAGTCCAGTGGCAGCATGCTTTACACCACTGCATTCCGTGCTTTGTATTGCACTTGGTCATGTAAGGCTTGGATGCAGCTGCTCGGCCATGGAAACCCATTCCATGAAGCTCTTGTTGTGCTAATTTGAAGGCCACATGAAGTTTGGAGGTCTTTAGATATTGACTCTGCAGACAGTTGGCAACTTCTGCGCGCTGCACGCTTCAGCATGCACTGACCCCACTGTGTCATTTTGCGTGGCTACCACTTTGTGGCTGAGTTGCTGTTGTTCCCAGTTGCTACCACTTTGTTATAATACCACTAACAGTTTAACTCCTCCTGAGAGCGACCCATTCTTTCATAAATGTTTGTAGAAGCAGTTTGCATGCCTAGGTGCTTGATTTTATACACCTGTGGCCATGGAGGTGATAGGAACACGTGAATTCAATGATCTGGAGATGTGTTCCAATACTTTTGGCAATATAGTGTATATAATATCCTGAATTCACACCACCTGCATTCAGGACATTACGTCTGTGGTCAGACTCTGCTTTATACAAGTAGTGGCACATAGCTATGTACAGCCACCGCCACCCATTCATGTCTGTGTGGTGGTACAGTTGTGGTGCAGCTATATGCAGCACCAGGGGCTCCCGAGCACTACACCTGTTTGTTTATGCTAAACAGGTGAATGTGTTTACGTGCATAAGCCTTTATTTTTACAAACATGATTTGGCGCTTCTTCCATTTTCTTGATCATCCCAAGGAAACTCAAACAAGATGGTGGACCAAATGACGGTCCCCCAGATCTGACTTTAGATCTCTACATATCCTTGCACCCATCTAATGTGATGATATAGGGTGGTGGGGAACTTTGGAGATCAAACTTGTGTTGGAGCACATGGAGGATAAATGAAGGATAAACGAAGGAAAGGGTCAGGATGAATCTTTGGTAACAGCGTAGGTCAGGGGTGCTCAACTCATGGCCTGCAGAGCCCTCTGATGTTGCCATCGGCAGCGTAGGTCAGGGGTGTTCAACTCATGTGCTGTGTGGCTTTGAAATGTTTGAAGAGCTACCTTTCATCGCTATGAGAGGTGCATTTTGATGAAAACCTCACCCGTGATGCAGAATAAGGTTTTCTTTTCATGCACCAAAACACACAGAGGTGAATGCACTCTTGGGGACCGTTAGCAGAACTTTTTATTTTAACGTGATTCCTGTACCAAAAAGCCATGTGCCGAGAACTGCTGCAATACAAACTAAAGAACTGGTTATGAAACAGATTTTTTTTCATGCATTCAAGCATACGTGTACATTAGAAATGCTATTCTTAGAATTCTTAGAATTCAGAGTAACTGTCAAGTTACCTGAGGCAGGCTCAGGTTGGTTTATTTCGGTTGGCCATCAAGGCATCAATAACCTCCGATTATAAAAAACAGCAAAAACCAACAAATTACAAGTGTTCCAAATATGAGGAAAAAGGGAAAATAATAAATATTTACTATGCTTTTTAATATTTGACTTTTAATTTAAAGCCACTTTTGTTTTCAGGGATTAGTCGCGTATTCAGCGGTACAAGATTAAATTGTTTATTTTCAGGCTGAGGGCATCTTAATTCCCACAGCTGTCCATCTTTGACAGACAGGATATACCGGTGACTTGCTTCTGATCTTGCCAAGTCATTTTACCTAATGGAACTCAGTGGGATGAGTATAGAAAAGTTGATAACATATCTGCAGCAGACGGCTTGGCAGGAAGATTAATGTATCCCTCCACATAGTAAAACAAACGAAAGAGCCAGAAATGAAAGCACTAATCTATAATTCAAAAGGGTGTGAGCAGATTTAATGTAGGTGTTACTCGCAAACCTACCAGCAGAAACAATCTGCAGGCTATGTGCTTTGTTTTAAATGCGATGCCTAAGCCAGACAAACTTGGGATGCATTTTCTAAATACGATTTCATATTAATGTAAATCTGCACCCAACCACTAAAATCTCATACAAGTGTTAATGTGTAAATGTAATTGTTTTCAGTCTTTTTAAATGTGTGGCATTAATTAATATACCTGGTGATCCTGTCATGACCTATTTACAGCACTGTTTGCTTTCATCCTCTAAGGCAGTGGTCTACAAACTTCTGTCTTGGGGCCAGATGTGGCCCTTTGCTTGCCTCTATCTGGCCCTTGGGGCACAATTTCATACAGACATTAGTGGTGGGGCACTATTCCTCACAGACAACAATGGTGGGGTGCTATTCTTCCCACTGATATCAACAAGGGGGCATTATTATTCCCACACATAGAAACAATGAGGCACTATTACTTCCAATTAAACCAACAATGGGGGGCATGATTACTTTCACCTAAACCAGTGATAGGGTATTTAGTCCCACTGATGCTGAGGCATTTTCTACTTCCTGGCCACCGTCCGTCCCACATAAAATATGAAGGACAGTAAACTGGCCCTTTGTTTATAAAATTTGGAGACCCCTGCTTTAAGGTAAGACTAGCTTTAAGTCCCAACATTCATTGCTCAGTTTCAATTTTTGCCCCACACGACTAACTTTTATGATGCTCTTCCGGTGAGTACAAATGTTTATGGCTGCACCTTGCCCAACACCTTGCATAATACGAATGCGCAGTACACATAACCAGAAGAAAAAATGTTTTATGTCATCATTCTGACAGAGCAAACATTTTGTTAACATACTAGAATATGGGGAGCCTGCCATCCCATCAGATCATTGCCCCCATAGACTTCAGCCTATATGTTCCACAGATCCAGAAATGTCAGAATAGTGCAGTTATTACCTTTCTGTTCTGTTAATAAGATTTGCTATTTGTGTTGCTGCAGAATTTAATTGGCATCGCGACCGACTGTCTCCTAGCTGGATGTTGTATAACAAGTTCTTTCTAACAGCGAGTCTTTTGTTCATGTGATATTTTTTAGTGGCTTGCAAAAAATCAATAAGGCCTTCTGCCTCTTCCTGTAGATAAAACAGAAAAACATAGTTTACAAATGATTTTAAGGACATGTCCACCTAGCAATAAACATCCCCCTTTGTGCCGCATGTCAAAAGAAACAACGGTATAGGTCTTATGCACTGATGCTTTTGAATAACATCTTTAATAATAACAAACATTTTCTATAGTCTAGAACAGTGGTCGGCAAGCTGCGGCTCGCGAGCCACATGCGGCTCTTTACCCAGTCTAATGCGGCTCTTCTGTGTGCCGGGCGCCTGCTCCCCTCCCTCCTCTCGGTCGGCCGCTCCCCTGCCTCCTCTCGGTTGGCAGCCCCAAAAGTCCGCGCGGACCTTTTAATCCGGCCTACGGATGTGGCTGTCAGGATGTGTGTAGGCGGGGCAGCGTGCCGAACGTGAGGGGAGGGGAGCTAGGCTCCTCTCACAGTCCGCCCTGAAGACCCGAACGGCGCGGGAAGACAGCGAGAGGAACGCAAAAGGTAAGTGAATTGACACGGGGGACTTGGCTTACTAGAAGGGGGGGGGGGGGGGGAATAGTACTGTGGGGGATGAAATACTATATGAGGGATGAAATACTATATGGGGGGATGAAATACTATATGAGGGATGAAATACTATATGAGGGATGAAATACTATATGAGAATGGATGAATTACTATATGAGGGATGAATTACTATATGAGGGATGAAATACTATATGGGGGGATGAAATACTATATGGGGGGATGAATTACTATATGAGGGATGAATTACTATATGAGGGATGAATTACTATATGAGGGATGAAATACTATATGGGGGGATGAAATACTATATGGGGGATGAATTACTTTATGAGGGATGAAATACTATATGGGGGGATGAAATACTATATGAGGGATGAAATACTATATGAGGGATGAATTACTATATGAGGGATGAAATACTATATGAGGGGATGAAATACTATGTGGGGGGATGAATGGGGATGAATTACTATATGGGGGATGAAATACTATATGAGGGATGAAATACTATATGAGGGATGAAATACTATATGAGGGATGAATTACTATATGAGGGATGAAATACTATATGGGGGGATGAAATACTATATGGGGGGATGAAATACTATATGGGGGGATGAAATACTATATGAGGGATGAAATACTATATGGGGGGATGAAATACTATATGGGGGGATGAAATACTATATGAGGGATGAATTACTATATGAGGGATGAAATACTATATGGGGGGATGAAATACTATATGAGGGATGAATTACTATATGAGGGATGAAATACTATATGGGGGGATGAAATACTATATGAGGGATGAAATACTATATGGGGGGATGAAATACTATATGAGGGATGAAATATTTATATGGGGGGGATGAAATACTATATGAGGGATGAAATACTATATGAGGGATGAAATACTATATGAGGGATGAAATACTATATGGGGGATGAAATACTATATGGGGGATGAAATACTATATGGGGGATGAAATACTATATGGGGGATGAAATACTATACGGGGGATGAAATACTATACGAGGGATGAAATACTATACGGGGGATGAATTGCTATGGGGGATGAATTACTATATGGGGGATGAATTACTATATGGGGGATGAATTACTATATGGGGGATGAATTACTATATGGGGGATGAATTACTATGGGGGATGAATTACACCATGGGGGATGAATTACACTATGGGGGATGAATTACTATATGGGAGATGTATTTTCAGTTTTAAAAATGTGGCTCTCAAAATAAAAATTTCAATCATGGTTTTGGCGAGATTTGGCTCAGTTGAAAAAAAAGGTTGCCCACCACTGGTCTAGAAAATGTAATGTCAAATGGATAATTAGCAATTTCATAACTAGTAGTCATTGTTCACCTATAGTAAATGAACCGCCCTCTTAGACTGTAAGCTCTAATGAGCAGGGCCCTCTGAATCCTCCTGTATTAATTTGTATTGTAATTGTACTGTCTGCCATTATGTTGTAAAGCGCTGCGTAAACTGTTGGCACTATATAAATCCTGTATAATAATAACCTAAGGATATAATGAATAAATATTTTTACTCTACATGAAAAATGTACCTACACCGGTTGACACAAGATTATTTGATGGAAATATCAGTCATGTGATCTCTGTTGATGTAGGGATCTTTAGAAATGAAGGCAGCTGAATCTGCAGGTAGAACCAATAACCTAGTAGCCAACACATCTTTACAAGAGATAACATTACCAGTGTTTTGATACAGATCACTTTACTGGATGCCAGCCAATGCAGATTATCTGTCATTACAGTTGGCCAAGCTTAAAGTGGTTTTAAAGGTAAAAGTTTGTTTTACCTTAATGCATTCTCTGCATTAAGGTAAAAAAAAAAAAACCCTTTTTTAGGATCCCC